TAGACCGATAAAGCTCCCGGATGGTCTCTTGCGGTATTTCCTGCCAAATTCGATCCAATTGTCGAACGAGGTCATCAACATTCCGTGCCAGATGCAATCGCCTTCCCATCATATCCCAGACATGCTCGATGGGAGAGAGATCTGGTGATCTGGCAGGCCAAGGAAGAGTTTGACAAGCTTGCAGACAGTTCATAGCAACACGTGCCGTATGTGGTCTGGCATTGTCCTGCTGAAAAACCAGCCCAGGGCGCTGCAAAAGGAACGGTAGCAAAACAGGTCTTAGGATGTCGTCGACGTACCGCTGTGCAGTAAGTGTACCTCTAATGACGACCAAAGGGGTCCGGCTGTCAAAGGAAATGGCACCCCAGACCATAATGCCTTGTTGAGGGCCGGTGTGGCGTGCAATAGTGAAGGCAGGATCCCCCCTCTGCCCTGTGCGTCTCCAAACACGTCTTCGATGATCGTCAGGACACAGTTGGAAGCGGGATTCGTCGCTAAAGACTATATGTCCCCAGTCGGTATCATTCAAGCCATATGTGTTCAAAATATTCAAGCATACGAAATTTCAAAGCAATCGGATGATTGCTTCTTGGTGCGTCGATTGTTTAGATATAGAGTGTATATACCTGGCACCAAATAGTTTTTGAATTTCGATAATAGCGACATTTTGGGAGGTCTAAAACAGAAATCAAATACAAACTTAAATTACAGTAAATTTTAAAAATACAGTTATTCTGGAAATATTAAGGCAATTCAATGTTACATGAAATTTTTTTGACTAAATGTGTACCAGAGGAAACTACAGTTGTAAAGTTACAGTTACGACAATCTTGAGTCAGAGGAAAACAGTAAGCCGAAACCTTAGTTTTTTTTTTTTTAAATTTATAATAGTGTTAAAAAAAGCGATATTCTGCCCGGGGATAAATAAGTTTTTTCCGAAATATTCTACTTACATACTTGTATATACAGCAATAAAATGCTTGTAAACAGCAATAAATATTAATATATGCTTGTGTACAGCAATAAATATTAATATATGCTTGATTGTTACATAGGAAATAATAAAAAAAATGTTCCTGAGAATGAGTATTTTAGACTTTTTTTCTGTCTAATAAATGTATCATGAAATTTACTGAAATGATCTTTTACAAAATGTAATGTAGTATCTTACGCGGTCAGTTTTCATTGCACGTAATCTCTCCCCCCCCCCCCCCCAAGATTNGTTCTTTTGATCACCCCCCCTCCAAGATTGAAGGGGAAAAGTCAGAAATTCTCTGGTCAAGTAAAGTGACCCGATTGATTTACGATCATTGAAAATTGAGATTGTGCAGAGTATTATTATTATTATCTTCTTCAAGTTTGTTCTTCTGTATCTATTGATTAAATCATTTTGCACGTGTTTGTCTCCTTTTCTACTGTCATTTAGTGTTTAAACGCTGACGAAGCTTCTTGTTTATAGGACCAGATTAGTAGTATGCCCATTTCTGTAGTTTTATTTGTGTTTAATTCACGTCATTTTGCTTTATTTTACATAACAAAAAAGAAAAAAAAAATTCTCCATCCTCTTTTGAATTTCATATATAGTTTGCTATTTTATTTTACAACCGGCATTAAACTGCCGAACCAATTTTTAGTTCACGACTATCAATCTTCAACACCACAGTTCTGTAATTTTGAACGCAACACAGAAAACAAAGGAGCTCCCGGCTCAAGCATTGGGACAAACTAGCCTTTGTGCAGGACTTTTAGATTGAACTAATTCGCATTTGTGTTACATGGAGAGGAAAACCTCCCATTTAGCCCGGCGTCAAGAGGATTCTAACCCATGATCCGTCTACCACTGAGGATATTTTACGTCAGCACCGTGGTCGGTGCACGTCTTGTAATTGAAAACTGCAATAAATTTATTGTTAATAAATATTCAGGATTTCTAACTGTAGAATCATTTAAGATAAAAAATGAAAAAAGTTTTCTAGCGGTTTTGATTTCTTTTTCCAGAAAACATGAAAATATCGATTATTTTATTGTCTTTGTTCAAGTTTATGTTTTTATGATGGTTTTCCGATATTATTCATGATACAGCTATCAGCATGTCGCCAAACGGTTGACAACTGTCTTTCTCGAAAAATGCTGTATTAGTTCAAATATGGTAATCCGTGATGCCACAGTTGAAAGAAGTCGCAGCTATTCTTCAAAATTTTTATCTAATCAATATCTTGAAGAATATCTGAGACTTAATGCAAAAACAAATAACGTCAAAAGTTCATAAAAGTGTGACAAGAATATTTAAATTTTTTTTAAAAAAAGCATTTCTATTAATATTTTTCTGTTGATATAATTCATTAATGCGGTTGTCATGATGGTTGTTCAATGCTTTTAAGTTTGGCATGTTGTTTTTGTTCACTAAAGATAGGAGCCATAAATGATGTCCCACCTTTCTTTCAACATTTTTGAACCCTTCCACCCCTTTGTCACTAAGTGTTTCATTTCACCTTACCCCCTACTTTTTCACACAGGTCAAGCTACATTATATAAACATTTACAACAAATTACTACAATGTAGATACTGCGTGTTTAAATGACATTTGTGAGAGACGTGGGGGCTTAAGGGGTAGAGTGCTCTTCTCCCTATGAGGTGACCCGGTTTCGAATCCCTGTAATGGCTTGTTGATACGAAGCTCGCACTGATTAAGGAGCTGACGTAAAATAACCTCAATGGTCGACGGATCATGAGTTAGAGTCCCCTTGCTATCAGGCTAACCGTGGTAGGTTTTCATGATTTTCCTCTCCATGTAACGTAAATGCGGGTTAGTTCTATCAAGAAGTCCTCCCCGAAGGCAACTTTCTCCTCAATACTTAATTCAGGAGTTCCCTTGTCTTCTGGATTAAGTTCAAAGTTACGAGGCTACAGAGTTGAACATAGGTAGTCGTAAACTCAAAGTTGGGTCGGCTGTTCAACGACGGTTGTAAAATAAAACAATAATGTTAAACTGTGTTGTTATTTAAGGGAAAAATTTTAGAAACTTATTGTAAAAAATGTTTAATTAGCTGATTTTAACTATTTTAATTTGAAACAAAATGTGTAATATAGCTTTCCTGGTTACCCCACCTCCTGTCATAAACTGTCACAATTTTAATAATCTTAATTCCTTCCCTCCCCTCCAAGTGGGGCATCATTTATGGACGACCCCTCAAAATCTTTTTACTTAGGCCATTTTATAAATCAATAAAATGTATTCGTATTAATTAAAAGTGAAAAAAAATCTAATGTATATATTATGTTTCTATGGTTCGCATGTTGTCATTCGTGCAAAGTAAGCAAAGATCATCTTAATTAATAAGCAAGATAACTAGTTAATATACTTGTTAACAGTAAAACTAAAATGCAATCCACGAGTACTTATGTTTGATTGTTAAAGAAATATTGGAGACTTCGGTGATTTATATCGGATTGTTAAAAATCATTTGAGACTTCGTTGCTTTACGACTCGATTGTCAATATAATTGCCTGGCACAGACTACTAAAGTACAGAATTGTACATTCCTTAATATACAAGTTCATAGTATTTCATTTGAAAATAAAACTTTTATAGGAACTGGTAATCTATATATAATTCTTCATAAAATGCCTACTCCACTTATTGAATTTATTAAAACAGAGGTTTAAGAGAGAAAAATTAAAATATTATTTCCTTTAATCCTAATTTTAAATATTTTTCTCCTGTAAAAAAAATGAATTCATTGCAAACTCCTTCTTTTCATTGTATAAAATGATTATTATATGCGAAAATAGCAAGTAAGAGAACCTGTTATACTATATATTTTTTAACGCATTTTGTATGAAAGGATTGATGTATTGACTAAGGCGCTTTTCTTTTTCTAGTTCCGTGAGGTGCAAGCTGTTGCAACGAAGTTAATAATCTTTAATGTGTTTGATTTAAGTAATTAACAATGTACCTCTTAACGATTCAATATATCTTTTTTTTATTGATCGCTTTAATTTTTTATTACTAGTTACTAGCTCAGAATAACCTCATATTGTAAAAGGTTTGATAGAGTTTTTTTTTTATTTTTTAACATAAACTATTTTTCTTTGATTACATAAATTACATATTTTCTCTTAATTTATGAGTGTTTCTCAACGTTTTTTAATCACTGATTTAGACTTATTTAGCTAAATAAGTACTTGTTAAAATGAAATGTATATATTTACTTTTTGAAAATGGTTTTGAATTTTATCGATTTTATGTTTATAAATTAAGAACTTTAAGCGATAAGAAAAATTTTTTTTATTGCTGCACAGACCCTAATTATGATTTTTTTTCGGGGGAAAGTGGTTAAAAATATTTTTTGAATTCTTAAAAAGAACTTAGAAGGTTTCCTTTTTTTAGTAATTTAGGTACGCACCCTGAAATAGGTAACTAAGCTCAATTTGGCCTTAAGACGCTCTTAGAGCAATAAACAAACGATATGAATCGATAATAATGTTAATATCAACCATATCCATGATCACCATTTGAAAATTAAATTTAATAAATTTTAACGACTGCATAAATAAAGCTATGGCAGACGAATTTTTTTATGGTGTTTTTATTTGGTGAGTTAAATATTCAAAAATGTATCAATTTATCAGTTTCTCTTAGATTGCCATTTTACAGTTAAAATAACTCTCATAATAAAAATGCTTATTAAAATTAGGTAAGTAAGTGCAGTTTAGCCCCAAGACGCTCTTACAGCAATAACAAATTATATTAGTTGATAATAACGTTAATATAAACCATATCCATGATCACGATTTGAAAATTAAATTTGATACATTTTAACGAATGCATAAATAAAGCTATGGCTGACGAATTTTTTTATGAAGTTTCTATTTGATCGAATTTTTTTATGGCGTTTTTATTTGGTGAATTATGTATTCAAAAATGTATCAATTTATCAGTTTCTCCTAGACTGCCGTTCTACAGTTAGAATAAAAAATAACGCTCATAAATTAAAAGTGCAAGATGATTCAAAAGTTCAGCTGATAACGAAACAATATCTAAGGTATGTTCTGATAAGAAGTTCTTTTGATCACTTTACCTTCATATCGTCATGACATTTTTGATGTTGATGCTATGAAGTCGCTCCAGTATTGAAACCAAATTGCATGCATTGCTTGTGATATTTATCTGCTACTGGAAAATTAAATAGTTGTTAATGCGTGTGCTTACACGGTGCAAGTACTGATATTTTTGTTCTTTTCAAATCAGCTGGTTAATTTTAACTTTTCCATGTTTAAGATATTTTTGAAAAAAAATAGAGAAAGGAGGATTGTAAAAAGGGAAAAATCATCCATTCCTTTCTTGTCCCGAAGTATAGTACGATTTTGTTTTTCTATTTAAAAAGTATTTTGTGATAGCAGTATGTAAAAATGACAGTTGTTACATTTAAAAAAAAGTGAAAAATATTGTACGAGAAAGTTGTTCTCAATCTTGTTCTTGGTTATTCAAATGTTATGTTTTTTTAATCGTATTTATCTATACTTAATTTTTGCTACTTGTTTGCACTTAAATTTACTGAAACTTTGTTTAAAAAAATTTTCCCTCGAAGTTTGTTAAAATTAAATATTCTTACAATATATTATTTCTATTTGTTTATTTTAAGTCTTAATTTTGGTTTATTTTTATTATTTTTTTTAGTTAATTTATTATTCTCCTAATTTTCTTATTCTTAAAAAGTATATTGTATTTATAATTTTAGGCACAAGGGGACGATGACGTCGCCGTCAACGTTGAAGACACGAGAGGTAATGGGTTTATGGAAGAATTTTTCGCAGAGGTAAGAATTAACTTTATTAATTCCTTCCTGAAATTTAAAACTTCTTTAATTTGCCTTCTTTGAGTAAACATGGGTATCACATAGCCCATTGATCTGTTCTCTCTCACTTATTTTTACTCCAAACTTAGCCTTTTACAGCTTTTGACCATCTTACCAAGTTTACATAACGTTTTTTGCGTTTGGCGCAGTATAACCGATTTCAGCTCTTGTGCTCTCTGTTAAAGCAATTTTTCACTTTAATGCGGCATCCTGCTCGTAGGTTCTGCGCAAGTTCTTTAGAAAACCGTGGATGCTCTGTTATAACTGCCCTGCGTAGAACTTCAGTGCTTTACAAATTTTTCCCTGTTTCATAGCTTTATAAATTTTTTTTTTTTAAGTTTCTTCTTCAGTTTGTATAATATTAAACCTTTTAATTAGTTTTGACCCTACTTTCTTGGAGCTTAGGATAGTTAAAAACATAAAGGAAAAAAATATCTGTTTAATATCTCTTGTTCAAGTTGACAAAGTCTTAAAAATGTCACCATTTTAAAAAGAATAAAAATATTTCTTATAAAGTCTTAATTTTTGTTACAAAAAAAAGTAAAACACCGTGCATAAACAGTACCCTGAAAATAATAATAAAATTGTAAGGTTTATTGTGAAACATTGAAAAGTCATAACAACTTTTTCGTTTCAGTTATCAATAATGTAACAAGCCACTTTTTAAAATTACGATATAAGTTTCCTTTTAATTTATTATCTTTTTTAAATTCCATTTTTGTTTATCGGGACGCCTACAATAGTAGGGAAAAATGCAAAAATATAAAACACTATGATTTTAATTTTATTTATTTATTTTTTTAAAATTTTTTTTCTCTCCATTTGAAACACGTTTTTCCCCCTGCTAATTAGTAGATTTTTAGTGTTTTATGCGGAATATTTGAACTATTGTAATTGAATATGCAATAATACACATGCAACTCATCAAAGAGTCTCCCTCCTAAAGGAAATATTAAGCAATCTATTTTCAACTTAAATAATTCTTTCTGAAGCTTAATAATGATGAATACAGTAACAGTTCAGTAATTTGAGCATAAAGTTAATTTTACATCAAGGGATTATGTATTCAAAATGTTACATGTATGTACTAATGTCAATGATTTCTAATCGTAATTATGAAAATAAAATTTTCAGAAATATACAATATGAATGCAGTCGTGGACCTTTCACTCTTTACCTTTTTGTGGTAGTTCAACGATTTTTATAAATAATTTAACTAATTAGTACAACTGATTTCTTTCAAGTCTTAGTCTTCAGAATGAAAATGCTTGACCTTAAGCTATATTATTTTTCATCAGCAAATTGTATAAAATATAAACGTACTTAAAAGTGTTTCTAAATTCAGCATGTAATTTAAAAAATACTCTTCATTGATTCTAAAGATAGTCAGAAAAATTTAGTGCGTATTAGAAGATAGTTCATTTTCAAATTCTGTTGAAATTAAGGATATTATATATCTTATTTTTATTAGTTCTTCCACCTCATATTCGGTTAAATTAGTTTATCGGTTTCGAAATGAAATGCTTTTATTTAAATTATTCACAATAATTATTTCTAATCCCGTAAGTCCATGTTGATATTTAAAAATCAATAAAATCCTGTCTATATGAGCCAATGATTAAAAGAAGACGCGGAAAATAAGAATAATCCGAAAGCTTCAATTTTTTAACAATATAGTCCCACGTTAAAATGAATGTTTGCAAATCTACCTTCTGAATATACAAATTATTACAATTACCTTTTCATTCGAAAGTACGAAGAAAGAACATATTCGTTCTATCATGGTGTGAACATATATTTTCCGTTATACATGAATAGGTTCATCTTGTTATGCGTGAACATATCAGTTTATGCGTGCAACTTATCAGTTCCGTTGCACGCATTTTGTGGAGACGTAGAAATAAGTCAAAACTTATACTAAACCTTAATTATCTAAAATGTTTTTATCAAAAGAACCAAAATCAGGATAATTCTGAAGTATCCTGAATAAATTGTAAAAGAAAAAAAAGTGATACTTATGGGAAATCAAATGAAGGAAATAAAAAAAAAATCAATTCTTATGTATCTATTTTACAATGAGCTTATTGTACCGAGCAAAGGGATTCGTTTTGTATGGGCATGAATAAAACAGTTCCTAAGAATTCCAAAACTTTATTAACCGAATCTTCTCGAAAATACAGCTATTTCAAGAACACAAATACTCAAATAATTGAGTAGTTGAACAAGACAAAAACTATGAAACCTCAAACAGTTCATTGAACTCGCAGATAAGAACACTATTGTAATCACAAGCAGGCCAATTATTTCGCGGTCCACACTTATTTATATAGGCTTAGAGACGAACCTCGGAACTTTCCAAATGATTCTAGACAATCCTCACATAATTCCGTAAATATTGGTCCTCTCGCTTTGAAACTCGAAGTTTCCAGAACAACCATTGTGCTGCCAAAGTGGTCGCTAAGTTAAAAACAAAATTCACTGGGGAAGAAGGCTAGCTTCGATAGACATAATGTAAACCGGTCCTTCAAGGCTTGATGTGGTCATGTATATAAAGGAAAACGCAACATTTAGGGGCTCACCAGAAAAAGTTTTTGAAACGGATTTTCATCCTACTCTCCTCCCCACCACTATTGGGGTTGGGAAAGATTGGAGAGGAGATGAAAAATTCTCCTTTTATTTATTGTTGGTTTGTTCTGCATTTTTGCACTATTTATAAACAATACTGTACTATTCATTAAGATATTTCGTTTAGAATACATTTATATCATCCGCGTTGATTAAATCTTTTAACATATGATATAAAAAGACAGAATAAAATGGCGGTTAGCGGGAGACTGCATACTTAACCATAATTCAGAGTTATCCAACAACCAGTTCTCAGATGACATACCTCCTGACTGTCACTTTGCTGAATCTTGGTACATATGATGCTTTGCTATATCTGATTATATTGATCGCAATTTAAGTTGCTTTTCTGTTACAGCATTCGGAATCGAGCAGTTCCTCTTGTTAGTTACGCATTCGAAGAGTTGAACTTCTTCCTTCTATATTCTTTGGCTAAGTACCACCAAGATTATTGTCAAGTCGACAAAAACATCAACAAGCCAAATCTTCCATCAAAAAAAAAAAAAAAAAAAAAAAAAAAAAAAAAGAGGCGTTATTTTTCTCTCTAAATTACCTTAGAATTACGAGACTTTCTTGCAAATTTTCGAATCTAACTGTTTATTTAGAGTCCTTCTGAGATATTTAGCCTCATAACCCAAGAATATTCACAATATTATGCATATATTTACAAATTTGTAACATCATGAATTCTGATTGTTTGCTTGTCAATTTCCCCCCTACTCCTACTAAGAGTAAATAATCAAAATATTTATTGAATAGAATTAATTTCTAAATTCTAATTTATTTCTTAAATTTTGCTCTGAAATATGATGAAATTTAGATTTCTGAATTTTTCAGCTCATATCTATTTTTCTTTTAAATTAATTTTTACTTCATGGCATTGTAACATTTTCACTTTAGCAATTTAGTATTCCTGCTAAATTGATCGTTAAAGTTAACGACCGACTCTATAATATAGCCATAAAAAATAATGACTTTGTTTTAAGTTTATGAGTTTAATGGATGTGGAGTTAAATGAATGACTTTTTCTCGTAACTCTAGCATTATACAACGTTTATTATTTTTATTATTAAATAGTTAGATTTTATTTTAAAAATTAAAATCCCATTTTTTGCTATTTTATTAAAATGTAGATTAAATCTTTTTAGTTTCTAGTGTAATTTTATATAAAGGTAACTTTTCTAATTTTTTTAACGTTCTTTTAGAATTTAATTCACAAACATCTTAGACTGATTCAGTTTTCTGTAAAAGTTAATTAAAACAACCTAGAGAAAATATATTTATGTTGCGTATTAAGTTCAAACAACTTAGACAACTGTACTTCAAGCATGAATATCCAACTTCACAGTTTTTAATTGGAGATACTCGTTGCAAAAATGATATATTTTATCGCAGGGACGTAGGTTTTTACTCAAGGAGTTAAACCAATTTTTACCCTTTCGCATTATTTTTACCACGTGAGAAGTGCGGTATAGCCTAATATGGCTCTTTGCACTAGAAATAACAACTAACTAACAATATTTGACAATGTGAAAAATGCGCTTGCTGTTAAAAGTTACTGAAGTTAGCTATCGTTATTGATCTGTATTGTGAAAACAGTTGTAAAAAGGCTTAATCTCAAAATTTTCTTTTTTGAAAACTATTCCATCGATTTCGTTCCAAATATCAAATTTATTCACGTGCTAGCCACCGACGCCCCGCTTGCTCGCCATTTTAAACAAGTAGAGCTTCTAGAATTTTGAGATTTATAATTGTACAGAGTCATATATCAAAACAATAGCGTAATTATAATAAACTCATTTTGCTCAAGTGAACGTGGATTTAATTTTTGTCTCTTACTTATTCGTATGGTTTCGTGGTGAATTTTTTTATTAAAATGTTTAGTGCAATACATGCTAGCATTAAAAAAAAGATACTAAGTATCTCAATGGCTTCTTTGATGGATAATAAACCAAACGAGCAACTTCGTCAAAATCAAACTGTGCCCTTAATAGTTATTATTATGCGATTCAACGAATTTCAAATGCAAAGGTTTTTTCGCCAAAACGAAACAAACCTTAAACTGCTATAAATTTCTTTAAGTTAAGAAAATATACAGATCTAAGAGAGCAAACAAAAAATTTTAAAGCAAAACATAAACTTAAAAATAAAAAAAAATGTAGCTTAATGACACTGCTCAAAAACGAAAAGGCAGCATGACCATAACGTTAAAAAAAAAAATCAGTATTTGACACGTTTAATTGCTAATTAAAACAAACTCAACTTGACAACTACTTTTGTTTAACTTTTTTAAGCCTCGACAAAAAAAAATTTGCTTTTAAGAATTTGACTTTTTT